TCAAAGGCTGACTGCAGCTGGTGGTACCATGTTGTGATCTTAAGATGCAAGCTGCTACATAGATTTTCCTCTTTCATTTTACTTAGGCTCAACCTTTTTGTTTGAACATGTCTCTCTCTTCCATAGCTCCTCTCCAGCCTGTTGTCAAACTTCCATACAAGGTAGAGTAGCCCACCATGTGTAGCACCAAAGTTGGCCCACAGCACTCCCAGAGTGGATTCCCAGAGTAAGTTTCACCACTGCTCTTTTTACAGTGGCACACTCAGCTTTTTACAGCATTCTGATCTAATGTTTTGTTTGTTTGGGTGTGTTTTAAAGACACAGAAGACTCTGTTGGTCTCCTCTTCCCCCATTTACTGCAACATCAAGCATACTACACTTAGAGTTGGCTGTAGTCCTACAAGAGTTCTCACAGAGAAAGGTCTGAGCCTTTGTTGATCACCAACACCACATAACGCTCACCATTACTTAAACAAATGCACCAGCTAAATAAGAACTTTCACACCTGAGGAGCAGATATGACTTACTAAAAAAACAGTCTGGTTTTATGAGGAGCTAAGACAGCTTGTGGCATTTGGCTTGCAAATCGAAGCCTTTCAGAAGCATGGTACTTTGTCATGTGTCATGATGCAGTAGCAGTTTCCTTCTTTGCAGTACCTTTCATCGTCCCAAAGCACTTCCAGAAGTCAGTTAGGTATTAACCAGCAGTGGCAGTGGGAATGCAATTAGTAATGTCTTCCATGGGTTCACATTTTTTTCTTGCCTGATTTATTAGTGAACAGCTTAAGAAGTTGGAAGCAGTTATTAATTTTGCTGAGAGAAGATGTAGTACGTAAGTCTTTGCATTGCAATTTTGTTGCATACTCTAAGCAAACAAGCAGAGCTCAGTTTATGCCAAGTTCATTAGATCAGTTATTTAAGTTACACCAATTTTAAGCTGCTACGGACAGAATAAGTGGAAACTGATGGAGCTGAGTTTTTCTGAAGATAGTGTGAACTGGCCGGCAAAGGGAGAAGTCAGAAAACCATGCCCAGCACCATTCAGGTTTGCCACCCATCAAACAAATGTGATGATTCATGTTACAGAACAGGTTTACCAGGCCATTCCCTTGCTTAGGACAGACCCATCTGTACCTGTGTTGTATCTGACATTCATCCAACCTACTTGTAAAGGCAACCAATGGTAAGTCCATTGCCTCAAAAATATGGTGTCTTTCTGAAGATTAAAGGGTTCCCGTTGAGTCAGTACTGTTTTCTCGTTTATTCCCAGCTGCAGCTCAAATTTAAGCTGTTAGAAACTGGGGGTCTTTATTTGTCACTCACCCCAAACTGGAGCCCTGCTAACTCAGCAGTTCCATGGCAGCAGACCTTAACATTTAGCATCCTGCTCCTTCCCCTGACCCACACCACCGCTCCACCTTAAGAAATACTGGATCCATCTGACCTAAAGCTTTTTTCATTTACCCTTGCTTTGCTCTTGGATTGCTTCCACAAGGGGGAGACTTTTGGATGCCAGCAGATGCCTCTGGCAGCATGCTCCAGCCGTCGGGCAGCAAGAGGCTGGGAGAGCTGGAGCCTGGGCTGTACCACAAACAGTAGAGGTTCAGGCGGGCGCTGGGCAATGGTGCTACCTGCAAAGAGGGAGAGTGGCTAAGAGACAGGTGGAAATGGGAGAGGGGCGTTGGAGCAGACGGCTGCCTGTGCTCCTTTTGAGCTGAGGCACTTGCAAGTTCTGAGCAGAGGGCCCTGACCATTGTTAGGTAGCTAAAGTGCAGCAAAACAGTAACTCTCAAGAACAACAGTTACTTTAAAAAAAAAAAAAAATCAGAAGAAAACCCCCAAACCCATTACATTGCTGAACTAGGAGAGGACTTGGGCAAGAGAAGAGAGCAGAGAGCTCCTCCAGGTTGTCAGCTACAGTGCCACATGGGACATAGCCCTCCTGTGCTAGCTGTGGTCTCCATGCTCCTGCATCTTTCAAGAGTCATGACAGGCATTTCTTCTGGTCATGTGGAGGCTCGTTCCTCGGTGTAAGAAACAGCTCCCTTTCCTCACTGCAGTTTTCCTTCAAGATTGTTTTGCAACTGTCTTTTCTCTGGGTTGGAAAGAAAAACACCACCAACCAACAAAACGCTACCCTACCTTTTGAGAGATATACAGTGTAATCATTCAAGAGCTGCTAGCAACTATTAAAGCTCACCTGTATCTTAAGATATAGTTCCTGGCCCCACTCCCCCCAGTATAGTTTGGTGCCTATTACATAAGGATCTAGCTCTATTTTAAGTAAAACGACTTAGGTCAGGGTGATTGATAGATATTTCTCTTACCACAAATGATGCCAGCAGTTCAGCCAGCGGTGGAGCTTTGGTTATCTTCTGGTCAGTTAACCAGAAAGCCAGAATTTGTGTGTGCAGAATCAACTCCAGAATCTAGGATTAGTGCAATTTATTTTTTCTCTCTTGCCTTGCAGGTACTTTTGAGAGGGGGTGGGGGGCAAGGGAGGAAGTAGGTACTTAGGTTTTCCCAAGTTGTCAGGGTGAAATATCATTTACCTGTATCTGGTAGGGTCAAAAGGAAGCCAGCATTAGACAGCAGTTGGACACAAGGTGTTGAAGCAAAGCCCGTACACCTGGATGCCATATAACCCTAGAGTAGCTTTATTATTTAATCTATAATTTAATAGTAGACCTATAAAATAATTACATTATACTTAAAGCATTTCTTCATTTTTGTTTTCATTTATAAAACAAGAATTAAATACAGTTTTGACCATTACAAGCTCAACTCAGTTTTTACATAAACACAGCTCCTAGAAGGAGCTTTTAAGCTGCAGCATATTCATATTGCAAACTGGTGAAAAACCCAGGCAGGGCATAGCTTAAAGATAAGGATTCTCGCACATTTTTCTTAACTGAATTTACAAGGGTGCTTTTCTCTCTCTAGTCCAAAACGCCCGACTTTCAGTTCATTTCTTTCAAGCGGAGACTGAGATCCCTGGAGTCAGTCTATTAGCAGACTCTGGCTATTGCCACTGTCCCACCCCACCCACACCAGCATGCTCAAGCCCGGACCGAACGGTGCCCGAACGGTGGCAGCGCCGCAGCGACAGCCTCTGAAGCGATCCCCGCGCGAGGAGGCTCCCTGTGCACTTCTGACACGCTGGAAGATCCCATCAGGAAAGCCATGGCCGCTCACGTAACGGGGCTAAACAGGCCCGACCAACCGCATCCTGCCTGTGCCAATCCCCGTAAACCGCTTGGTGAGCTCTCGTGGAGCTCAGTCCCGAAAGCCTCTTAGAGCAGCCTCTCTCACATAATAGAGACCTGTGGCCCTGAACCCCGCGCTGGCGTGAGTGCTAAACACATTAACCCCTTGAGGCGGCGGCATGTGACGAGGCTGGTGGGAAAGGGCTCCCACAGCGAGCTGGTTTCACCGGATGCAGATGCTGAACTGCGAGACATGCGTCAGGGAGTCGGCGTGTCATTTTTAATTTGTAAGCTTCAGACAACTGAGCACGCAACGGGCTTTGGTTTGGGGGAAGGGGCTGGTTTGTTTTGAGACATAGGATTTTAATGCAGCTGGGACTAATACAGATCAGAACTGGAACAAACGGGATATACAGGACATGCTAAACTCCATCAACTGAATAACAACACAGTATGATTTAAAATGAACTGCAAGTGTTCACCGGCACTGATTATGTAGGACTCAAAAATTGAGTGGACCACCAGTACTGCAGCAATTACAACTTACTCTCTCCCTGCTCCTACAGCTGCGACCCATTCCAGCAGCACTGACTGATGGGTTTGTCCTTCAACACTAACACATTAAGATTATTTCCAATCATGGGAGATACACCACTCCCAAAACCTGACAACACTGATGCAGCTTTTGTATTCAGTCCAGCAAAGACCAAATTTTGTCCTTTGTGTGACAGTGCTTTTATACCTTAAGTGTACGTCCTTCCCTTAAGCGTTCTCAGCTCCCCTCCCACTACCCTCCCACCTTCCCCGGTCTGAGCAGGCATAAATATAAGGCCATAAATGGATGTTGTCCTTCTGGAGTAAGAAACACACACACATCTAACACACAAAATCCTACCGAAAGCCTAGTTAAACCGTGTCCATTTTAAGCCAGGCAGCTGACCTAGCAACTGAGTCTCTTACTCAACACATTTTAATCTCTGGCATATTCTGCCACAAGAAAAATATACATGGCTCGGTCTATAATACTTTAAACAGCTGTTTACTATAGCTAGGTTACAAAATAAACACTGCTGCAGAGACCACGTGTTCGATATACTCTAACCACAGCAGCATCAGATCCCACCCTCAGTCTGCTCTGTGGTCACGGTGGCTGACCCAGCGCCTCGCCCTCTCCCCCTCGCGTCTTATCTGCCATTCAGACAACAAGCCCGGAACTGTCTGTCATTGCACAATTGAAGTTGTCTTAAGGAGATAAGCCTCATCGGAGAGTCTCACTTGCTTTTTGCACATTACTCCTCGTTACTCTCCCTCATCCGTGTCCCCCAGTCCTGGGCAGCACCCCAGCACTTCCAAGCGGGAGCGGCAAGCTCCGGACCAAAGCACGGGGAAGGCATTCCTGTCTTGTGGAGGCGACTGGAGTGTAGGGCAGAGGGCTTTACTCCACACAGTGGAAACATTTAATGCTGGATTCAGCCAACTGGTCACTTAGATGATCAATCCCAACTTCTGGGAGCCTGCTCCACTCCAGAAGATTCAACCGCCAGATGATATTGGAAATACAATGAAACTTTATGGTGATATGCCTAACACAGCCCAGTAAAAAGCGTTATTCCAGTAGGCAAGCGACAAGGAGCCTTTCCTTGCTGGAGAGATGCCTCCTGAAAGAATATAAAACACAAAAAAAAAGGGAAAAGAAGAAACAAACCAACAAAATGGACAGTCTGCTCAGTGGGAGAGGAGAGGCAGCAGTAAATCTGATGGGGGCAACACCAAGCAGAAGCTACATGCCTGCTCTCACAGTTTGCCTGAGTTGTTAAGATTCACAGACATGCACCGGCACTGCTTGACCTTCTGAATTTTCTTGAGTCGGAAAGGTGGGTCCAGCTCAGGGCACTCCAGCTGCACGGTCGAAGAGGTGACCTTGTGCGGTTTGCAGAAAGCACAGGACTGGAAGGACTCCTCCTCCTTTTTCACGTGCCGCGGTATGTAGAAGGAGTTGCACTGCCCATAGCAAAAGCGGTTGATGATGGTGCGGCTTACGCAGCCCTCCTCACTGACAGTCTGCCGCAGGGGCTGTGTCTTGCACCAGTCGCTCTTGAGGTACTTCCTTTCGGTGACCACGAGGGCCTCCTGGCTGGAGGCCAGCACCTCCTTATTCAGCTGCTGCCTCCGCTCCGAGTGGTTGCTGCTGCTGTCTTTGTACGGGGAGGGAATGGCGCCGGCAGGACGGTTCTTCCTGGTGTCTGTTACTCGAACCAGCGCTGCCATCAGAAAAACGGACAAGGCAAATTTCCAAATCATCCTGCAACAGCAACACAAGTAGCTGTTAGGAAAGACACATTTTCAAACCACAGAACTGTAACAGAGTTGAACTTTAAGCATGCTTTTAGAAGAAGTGGAGATCTTACTGCCTTTGTAATCCCACCACTTTTCCTCGGAGATTAGCTCGACTCTAGGGTGATTATTTATCACGAAGAGGCCAAGCCCTGTGGAAAGTCACATCACTTTCCCCTACCCCCACCCCAAGCTCTCCAACTACTCTTTTTTCCCCCCATAGGGACCCTGGGGCTTTGATCGCTGAAGCAGTGATTTTACAGAAGCTTCAGCCAGAAAGGTTTCCTCCTTCTCTGTGAAATCCTGGGCCAAACAGCTGGGCAAATTCCTGGCTTCGCCAGCTCAGGAGACTCCTGCCAATAGTGTGACAGCTGATTTGGGGATGGCGGGGGTGAGGGGAAGGGAATACCAGGTTACACAAGGTGAACTCCCATCTGCCTCTCCAGCCCCCGAGTCCCTTCCCAGCCTCGTTCCACACAGAAGTAGCGAGAGGTGTCAAAAAGCATATTTTTATTATTTTAAATTGCTTCCGAAGTTTCTTGGGGCTTTTATGGCACTTACAGGCTTGCATTTGTTGTCTTTGTGGGAGGCTGAAAACTTGATGGATTTATTCTTGCAGAAAGAGGAAATGCTTAAACACAACTTTGAGGACTTCATTACTGCAAACGCCTCTTAGGCAAATGGTTTAAGAAGGTTTGTAAACAGGACAGAATTCAATATTTATTTTAGATGTTAAGGAATAGGGTAGAGAATAAGCCAGTTTCTGAGTTAAAATAGTCATCCAGTTGGCAAAAGTATTTTTTCCTATGGTTGTCTATTAGGATTTCTTGTTCTGTGGAGCATCTCTTACCAGCGCTTGGATTTTCGTCAACCGCTTGTCCAATTCAGTTTAGTAATGTGTCTCGATGCACTTCCAGGATATCAGAATAGACGTACTAAATTTCCTCATACAGTCAATGCTCACCAGTGAACTGCCACAACTCATTTGACAGTTCATTTCACATCGTTCTCCCTGGGAAGGGAGAACAGAGGCTCTCTAGGGTGCCAGAAGTGAGTGCATCCCAGAAGCTTCCCGTTCGGAGGCAAGGATACTTCAAGTCTTTCTGAAAGTGCTCTGCTCACTTTTGTTCCTAATTGACTGTATTTTATAATAGCATACAGACGAAAGACTCATCCCTCTCTTCCCAGTAAAGCTTCAAATCCTTCCAATTAATGATTTTTTTTTTCCTTTACAGTGATGCCAATACAAAAAAATGCCATCACACCAGTAAATATAGATATGGCAAACACTACAGACACTTGAGATGTTGCATAGGTACTCCTAACAGGAAAACATGCCATTTTCCAAACAAAGACACCAATAGATCAAAAAAGTGTTTGCAGCAAAGGTGCAAGAGAAGATGACAACAGCAGTAACAAATACTCACCTAACAAAGCAGACCTTACGTATGTAACCCCTATGGAGACAAAGAGAAGGAATTACTGTAGCAGACTGGGTGAGATAACATCCCTTTCGATGATTTTCTAAGTTTACGAGATCTCAGTGTCTGACTTTGACTGAATTTCTAATGGGAGAAGTTTGAAGTGCTGAAGGAAAGGAAAGTTATAATCCTGTAGCTGTGAACGGAGGATGTTCTGATGCAGAGTTAAATTGCACCAGACTGCATGCTTGAAACGGAACCAGTTTTTACATGGAAACCAGTATTTCTAAAATCCAAACAAGCTCATTCATCTGTAACCCTGCCAGCTGCCCACTGACACCCACTGTAGCCATGGGTACTTTAAATCAGTGGCCTATTTTCACACTGCTTAGCATTCAGCACACAAGTCCAGAAGTTTTGTCCAGAGTCTTTAAATGAAGCAAGACTAGACTTGGCTTTGCTCATAGGTATTGTCGCCAAGACCATTGGATGTCAACCCACACAGCCAGGCCAAAACCTAATCAGGTAATTAGTTTCAGTTGAATATAGTGTTCCACGCTTCCTTTCAAACTGTTCTCATGTTATTCTGCACTGATGGCTGCATTTCAGTAGTAGATAAAACAACTGATCCCCACTGCTTTGCATTTTATATAGAAAGGGGAGGAGAAAACCTGGGAGTCTTTCTAGAAGCCTACATCTTCTAGAAAAAGACAGAGGTGAGCTCTCCACAAGATGCCTTATGCCAACACTCCTCTTCTACTCTTCTCTTTAAACACAAGCCCACAAAGCAATTGTGATAACTCTACAGTCCTTTGAGGAGGGAGTTTGGTCACTACTAGCAGGGATATTGCCTTCCAGTTTCATTTCTCTGATCCTGATGGGTAAGACGATGGTACAGGTCCAGAGCCATATCAGAAGGAGGGAAGCGCTCCTTCCTCTACACCTTTCTCTTTTCTTTGGGAAGCCCTGTCTTACCACACCCATCCTTTATCATCACAAAATGCAAGTTGAAACCAGTTCCCTCTCATGTCAGAGAGGGGGTCAAGCAGAAATCCTATGCAGGAATTCAGGAAAGCTGACAGAGAGCTAACAAACAACTCAAAGTCTACAATATAGAGAAATATTATAGTAGCTTTCTAATTACTGAAATAGTTTTATGTGGGCATGAAGAGCCACTCAACAGAGTAAGTAGGATTTATTCAGTAAGTCTATGTTTAATAAAGCATTACTAATCAAAGCCACTATTGTAAGGTTATAAACCAAACATTGCAGTACATGTTAGCAAGTACTTCTACAGACAGGTAGGAAGGAACACACCATCTATTTCTGCCATTGATCCTTATCAAACCTGAACCTTGAAATGTTTACATAATAGAGTAATAATCTGTTTTACACTAGCAGGTCAAATGTGCATCCTGTCAGATCGCGGAATTTCTAATCACAGGGTTGCCCCTTACTAGCCTGCAAATCACCCCTCTCTAAGCCCTGCCACACAAACCTCCTATTCAAGCAAGCAAGGGTGCAACCAAGGTCACCTGGTGCCAGCAACATGCCAAGGACTACATATATTTTTGGTATCCACAAGCAAAGAGAAAAGAAACCTCAGTATTCTCAGAGGTCATTTTGCTAAACTCGGCCTGAATACAAAGCAACACGGTGAACGCTGTCTGTCTGCAGACAGAGCGGGATGAGAAACAACACAAAATGTCCTGGAGAAGAATCTGGCGTCTGGCAAGAACAGGGCAGCTCCGTCCTACTTACTTAGATGTCACAGAACTGAGCAGCATGTGGCTGAGACCAAGCAAGCGAGAGCTGCCTCAGGAGACCAACGCCTCTCAAACTCGCCCGGACGCCAGCCTGGGCCCACCGCTCCCGCTGCACGGGGGGTCCCCAAGGCAGAGCCAGTGGAAGCTCCCGTGTGATACAGCTTTCAGCTCCTTCAGGCATCCTTGCCAGCTGCCGCCCGTTCCCCCCACTCCTCCTTTCCAGCGCGTGAGCTGGTACAGAAAACAACCTCAGACTAGACACCAGACAAGGCCTAGCTGCATTTACATCTCACACGCTTTTGTCTCTTTGAGATAAGGAAATTGGTATCAAGTAATGAGTTCACAAACTCATCAAACCCGTCGTGCCGGAGCTGGGCTATCAGGTACCCAGGAGTGTAAAAAATCCTTGGCCAAGGAGGCAAGAACGCCAAGATCCACCTCCGTAATCTAGAGAGGTCAGGGCACTCGGCTAGGAGGGGAAGACCCAGGACCCCTGTGTCTGCCCTTACCTTTATTTCTTCTTTGCACCCAGTTACTGCGTAACACACCTGCCGAGGCAGGCTCCCTCTTGCACGCTGACCTTCCGGCCCGGAACTCGCGCGCTCTTGAAAGCGATGCAGCTCCGGAGCAGGACAGGCAGCAGTGTAACCCCCAAAATGGCCTACATGGTTAGGACGCTTCTCTGGGACTATTAAGAGTATTAGATTTGACCTCAGAATTCAAGTGCATCATTTTTGGAGACGTCCCCCAATGCAGAAGTGGGTGCTACGGTCTGAAAGACGGGGCAGGAGGTGACAGCAGCGCCCATCTGTGCTGACTGCCCACCCCACCATCTCCTCTGCTTTTCAAAGGCATGACCGCAGTTTCTAGGCTCAGGATGCAGTTTCTGACTAGGGATTCCTGTTCCGTAGATCAGTCTACTTCAGGGTTGCGGGTGGACAGATGTAACTGGAAGATCGCTGTGATATTTTAGCCGCTCAGGAAATCAGCAGGTGTGAGACCCATTTGTTTGGTTTAGCGCATGCAACACCTACAAAGCACTCGGCGTTAACTCTCTGACACAGACATGACCTGCAATCATCTCCTCTTCACCAGGCCTTCTTGGGAGGGTTTCAGAAAAAACACCACAGCGGTGTGGTGTGGTTTTTAAACCAGTGGTTTACAAAACATAATTTGCAAAACCTGTCTTACCATGGAACATGAGCGCCCACCTGTTTCACTTATTCACAGGACAAATTCCGCCTGTAAATACACGTGGAAGATTTAGTACTATAAACCTATCCTACACCCATCAAAAGCACCATTAAGAGCCAATGACTGGGGAGATGATAAAAAAATTCGGAGATACTTTACTTTTTGAAAAGTTTCAATTTACTTAACAGCTGAAGAGTTTGCCTTGGAAAACGGTTTCTCTTTGACTACCAGCAAGTGTCAGGAATTACAGGCCAGGTTAAATCAGGTATGGTTCTGTGGCATGGCACATACATGGTCACATTTGACCACCTGCATCGCTCTTTTACAGTTTCCATCCTGAAAACTTCAGAGACACAAGAGCTCTCCTTTGAGATCCACTATTCAGCTGATTGTGGGAATCCCTGTTACCAACAAATTTCCTACTCCCTGTTTACTTTCATACTAGATCTAGTCAAAAAGAATCTGTATAAACCAGCTGTATGTATGTCAATGTAAGAACACGGTGTACATGGTCAGTTCTCAGCATTTAAGATGGGACACAAGAAGTGTTCCTTGAAGACAAGCCAGGCAATAACTTTTCAAAGAA